ATTTAATTATTTCTAAATTTGCATTTAGTTTATTGAAGATATTATTTTCCTCAATTATGAATTACTTTTAATTTAATGTCAACTGTTATAAGTTAATTGTTTTTAAAAAACATGTGGATTACATTTAAGCAATTTATATAAAAGTACGCTTAAAATTAAAATTCCAAAGGTGAATTATGAAATGCAAGATTTAAATGCCCATGATTATAAGTAAATAACTCCGGCAACTAAAGAATTAGTTCACAAAAAGAAGTATCGATTTGGATTTAATTACTTTTAACAAATACGTATTTAAATTTCTTCAGGATGACATAAATGATACTAACTCTTATTCAGTTTACTGAACAATGATTAAGAGTGAAATCACTTGTTAAGAGACGACTTCTAAAACATTTAATTATTCTAAAACATTCTAAAACATTTAATTATAGGACTTTTTTAAGTGAGGGGCCCTGGTGGCTCAGAGGACAGAGTGTTCGTCTTCCAATGAGGAGATCCGGGTTCGAATCCCAGCGATGGCTGATCGATGCGAATCCGCATCCGGCTTAAACCGACCACAGTGCTGACGTGAAATATCCTCAGTGGTAGCCGGATTATGGGTTAGAGTCCTTTTTGCCGTCCGGCTAATCGTGGGTGGTTCTCGTGGTCTTCCTCTCCATGTAACGCAAATGCGGGTTAGTTCCATCGAAAAAATCTCCACGGAGGCAAACTTCTCTCAATACTTGATTCTGGAGTTCCCTTGTCTTCTGGATTGGGTTCAAAATTACAAGGTCACGGAGTTGAGCATTAGTAGTCGTGAACCCAAAAATTGGGAGGGCTATTCAACGATGGTTGTAAAATAAAATAAAATAGTAATAAGCAGATTTGAGCCACGGTGGTTCAGGGGATAGTGTATTTGCCTTCCAATGAGGTGAACCAGGTCCGAATCCTAGCAATGGCTAGTCGATACAAATACCGCATCCGGCCTGCATCGACTACAGTGCTGAAGCAAAAAATATCCTCAGTGGTAGACCGATCATGAGTCAGAGTCCCCTTGCCGTCAAGCTAACCGGGGAGGTTTTCGTGGATTTCCTCTCCATGTGAAGCAAATGAGGATTAGTTCCATCAAAAAGTCCCTCCCATTGGCAAATTTCTCCCAATATTTGATCCAGGAGTTCCCTTGCGTTGGGTTCAAAATTACAAGATTACGGAGTTGTGCATTGGTATAACGTTAACTTAAAATTGGGTCGAATGTTCAACAATGGTCATGAAATAAAATAGTTAAAAGCAATCCTTGCTTCGAGAGACAGTGGCTTAGGGAATAAAGTAGTCGCCTACGAATGAGGTGAAACCCATGTTCGAATCCCAGCTATGACTGGTCAATACGAATTCTGTTCCCGGCTGACACCGACCACATTGCTGACGTAAAATATCCTCAGTGGTAAACAGATCGTGAGTTAGAATGCTCTTGTGTCGGGCTAACCGTGGAAGGTTTTCCTCTCCATGTAACACAAACGCGCAAAAAATCCTTCACGATGGCTAGCTTGTCTCAATGTTTGATCTATGAGTTCCCTTGTCTTCTTGGTTGGATTCAAAACTACAAGGCTACAGAGATGAACATTGATAGCTGTAAATCAAAAAATGAGCTCAGCCATTCAACGCTGATTACAAAATAAGGATTCTAAAAACAACCGAATGAGAATTTAGGCAATAAGTTTCATTTTATAGAAAACGTATTCCACACATCTTTTCTCTTTCTTTTGCTATGTAGGTGATAATTACAAAATGCGCTTAAGGTATGTAGTTCCAGAATTACAGCGCAATATATTTCCAAAAAGATGAGATATAAAAGTATCGCTTTATTCGGTGGGTTAAAATAACGCTTAATAACTTTTAGAACTTTAAAGGTTTTTTCTAAAAAAATTAAATTAGGCGTTCAGTAATTTTGAATAAGTAATTTAATACTGTGTTTATATGTTTAAAAATGTACCAGTGACTTTATTAAAACAAACAAATATTGATTTGGATTACTCTTAAAATTCTCCATCATAGATTACTCTAAAACGAAAATATTTTTCAAAAATTTAAAAAAAGTTTGGTAGGACGTTTCTAAAATTACTGATTGTAAAATTGTATGATTTTCTGAGTAAAAATTTAGTGAAATTCTAAATTATCACGCGTTATATTCTCCAGCTATTGGGTGAGTGACAATCTTGTATTTTACTTGTTTTGATAGATACTACCGAGCAACGCAAACACGGAGAAACAATTATAGTAAAATTACCATTCTTGTATGTTAAAGATATTTCTGGTAAATAAACCGAAATGTACGGTATTTTTACCCTTCATTTGGTAATTTTTACGTTCCTTATTGTAATGGTTTGTCTGTAATACTGACATCCAAAATTGTAGTTCTTATTACTGAGGCACGAAAAGTTCATTAGCCATTGGCGACTAATAAATTTCAAGTGGCGACTGTATTTTTAGCTTTTTAATTACAATCTGACATTTTTTTATATTTTAATATTTATAAAAAAGTTGGTCCAATAATTTAGTTCAAACGATATAATTTTTCCCCTTCTTCATTCTCGCCTATATTTTCCAAAATCATCAGAGAAAAAAATCATATTTTTTATCCTGAAAAATGAGACTGCATGAAAATGAGACTGAAAATTAATGATTAAAAAAAAAATTTTAAATTAACATTTTGACACTCAAAAATGAAATTTAAATCAAAAACTTTTTCAAAAACAAATTGTCTCCTTGCGTTAATAAAAGATAAATGACTGAAAATAGAAAATTAAAATTAAATAAAAAATCTGCATTATAAAATGAGAAAGAAGAAAAATTTTAAGATTGGTTCAGACACCAACAAGAATAACCTTTTTCGCAAAAATAACTCGGTTATTAATTTTTGCGAAGATTGATGTACAAAAATCCCACTACCCAACCGAGTTAAGTATATTTCGGTTGAAATTGATCAAATATGTACCAAGAAAGAGATCAAATATGTAATAATGAGATACCAAAAAAAGTATCTTTTTATGCAAAATAATAATTATTATTTTTATTATGCATAAATTGATGCTAAAAAATCACTCTACTATCAAAATTATATAAAGGTGAAAGTGAAATTGATCAAAAATATGTAAGATAACAAGAAACAAAAAAAACTTGTTTGCAACAAAAAAAAAAGAAAATCTATATAAAGTTAAACAAAGATTGATGCTGAAAAAACACTCCATACCTCAGAAATGAATACATTTTGTCTGAAACTGATCAAAAATATGAACTATAACAAAAGATACCAAAATGAATTTTTTTAGAACATTGGTAGAGAAAGGTACTCAAAAAGTAACCTATTATGTAAAAAATAAAATCAATAATGAAGTTTAGCAAAGATCAGTGTTCAAAAATCACTCTACACATCAAAATTAAGTAAATTTCGGCTGAAATTGAGCAAAAAAAATTTTAGCATTAAAAATAATATACATCAAAGAAAATAACCTACGATGCAAAAACAAAAAACAACAGTTATTAAGTTTTGCAAAGATTAGCGCAAAAGAATAACACTATCATAAGAATTATGGGCCTTCGCTAAAATAGTTGAAGTACTAACAAAATTTGTATCATGAAATGTGGTCCTTGTTTTAATAAATTAATCATAAGATGTTTATCAAAATAATACTCATATTACATTTATCGACATATCTTTGAAGACACACTATGCTGAAACAATATATATTTTTCACAAGTTCGTCATTTTGCAGTGAAAGAATTTTCTATTCGTCAATGCTCAATTTATTCCCCTAATTTCTAAGTGACATTCTGTAATGGCATTTACAATCCAGTGCCACCTGAAACATCCATAAATTACGATGAATGAGAAAAAGGCCATTACAGGTGCCCAGATCTACTTAATTGTCACTCAGTTTGAATGAAAAGAATTTTAATCCTATCAGAACTGTGATCACATATGCATGATCGCGTGATTCCCCATTCACGGCTAACGGTATCCTATATGAAACGAAACTTTTTGATTCTAGCTCCCCAATATCACACGGACGAGATCTCAATTCGAGTATTATACCTCATATTACTGCGTATACATACTCTTTAGCACTCTCAGAAAGTGCGGGAAGTGCTTCTTTCAGTTGGTCCTGAATAGGTGGAATCTAAGTGGTTGCTCAATCAGGAATCAACCAATGCAGAATAATTTTCATTTATTTTGATAAGTAGTTCACAGTCACTGGAATATTTTTGGCGTATCACTTACAGTCTCTGGCCATATTATTAGACGGTCGCAAAATTCTCTATAAAATTATAATTATCAGGTAATACTATACAGCTGTATTGTTTTTACTCGGACGAAAGGCTTCTGTATCAATTGGTTAACATTGTAATGCAATATGTTAAAATTAAATACAAATAGGAAGCATATAAAAAATTTCCCAAATAAGAACCAATTACATGTATGTTTAAATATAAAAGTATTGCATATAAACTCGTGCAAATCGTGTAATTATTAAAAAACTACAGCGCGTCTAATAATTTGATCTAATTATTATAATGTACAAATATAATGCTTGAGATAAAAAATGTTCTATATTTATATAATATATCGTCTAATGTATCCTATCGTCCAATTTATATCATATATCGTCTCATTTAACCAATTGATACACTAACGTATGCAAGTGCAAACCGGTTTCAGTCACATAAAAACAATAAAGCTGTATCGTATCACCTGATAATTAAGATTTTACATAGAATCTTATAGTGCGTTTAATAATTTGGCCAGGTACTGTAAGTAGATTTTGTCTTTGATGGATAATAAAGACAAATAAAAAGAAAAAGGTAAAACCGAAAATTGCAAGTTTTGACCCAAAAGAGGAAATTTGTTTGAAAAAATGATAATTTCTTTTATTCGCAACAAAGTGAAAATTCAAGGAAGTGAAAATGACATGAAAGGATTTTTGAAATCATTAAAAGGTCGTTGCAGGCCATAAAGAAGGTGGGGTCCTGGTTCCGCTAACTTGCGCATTTTGAGAAGGGTGCCTCAACTTTTTCTCGTGTGGCTACGGTGAACGATTTCCGTTTTAAAAACTCTGTGTTTTATCTAATTTTCAACTCATTTTCGTCACAAGAAAATAAATTAATTTGAAAGTGGACTGTAGTCCTAGAATTAAAGCTTGACCCTGACGGCTATGCTTCGTTGAATTGACCGTTTACTGATTGAAGATCATCCCAAACAGAGGAGAGACAGTTGTTGATCTAATGACCCATATGAGCAAGCAACAAGTTTTGGACCATCGCATTCAGTGAATATTCTTCGAATTTCATTTAACCGTCACTTCTTCAAAGAGAGAAGTTCGTTCTGTAATTATGATGTTGTTTGTCACACTTTTGGTGTTTGTTTTGGAAACCGTCAATTCTCTTGATGTTTCACTAAAACATGTTATTGATAGTCAACCTCTCCATTTTGTTGACGGTCCTGAAACAGAACATCATGTCTTGAATTCTACAATTATTTTGAAAAAAAAAGGTTATACAATCGGACCGGTGTTTTACAATTCTAAAAAAAAGCCTGAGGAAGTAGTAAATAATCATTATATTTCACCCTGGAAAAGACCTTTTACACCATTGGAAATTATCAACAATAATCATAAAGGTGAGTGATTTATTCTCTGTGTAAAATTATGAATTAATGTATCAGCTAAAAACAACATTTTTATTGCACTCTAAACGCGCTAGAGAATTCTGAACATAATGTACAGTCCCTGGCCAAATAATTAGACTCACTATAAAATTCCATGTAAAATCTTAATTATCAGGTGATGCGATACAGCTTCATTGTTTTTATGCGACTGAAACCGGTTTGCACTTGTTTACGTTCTGGTATCAATTGCTTAAATGAGACGATAGATAATATAAATACGACCATTGGATAAATCAGACGATATATTATATAAATATAGAATATTTATTATATCATGAATTATATTAGTATATTTTAATAATTATACCAAAGTATTAGACTCACTATAGTGTTTTAATAATTGAGTGTTTTGCACTAGTTTATATGCAATACTTTTCTATTTAAACATACATGTAATGGATTTTAATTCAGGAAATTTTTTATATACTTCCGATTTGTATTTATTTTTAACGTATTGCATTACAATGTTAACCAATTGATACACGAGCGTAAGCAGATGTAAACCGGTTTCAGCCACGTAAAAACAATGAGGCTGTATAATTAGGTTAATTAGGATAATACATTAAATCTTACAGTGCATCAAATAATTTGGCCCAGGACTGCATGATAGTAATTAAGGATAACCAACTTTGTACGTTATAATCTTTTACCCTTTAAACGTTGTAGCCAAATTTTGAACTGAATGTATGATAGCAATTAAGGACAACCTATTTCATACATTCTAATCTTTTACCCTTTAAACAATGTAGCCAAATTATGAGCTTACTGTATGGTAGGAATTAAGAACAACCGACTTCACACGTTCCAATCTTTTACCCTTTAAACGTGGTAGCCAAATTATAAACTTAATGTATGGTAGCAATTAAGAACAACCAGCTTCACATGTTCCAATCTTTCACCATTTAAACGTCGTAGCTAAATTATTAACTTAATATATGATGGTAACTAAGAACAACCAGCTTCATACGTTCCAATCTTTTACCCTTTAAGCGTGGTAGCCAAATAGTAAAAGTGAACTTAATGTATGGTAGCAATTAAGAACAACCGACTTCATATGCTCCATTCTTTTACCCTGACGTAGCCGAATTGTGAACTTCATTTGGGGAACCAGTACGGTACTTTCTAGTGAATCGGGCGAGATGTAGTTCCTGAACTTTAATAAACAGATTTTTACTTTATGATCTTAAATTTTTTTATTAAAAAAATAGTATAATCCGCTTGTTATACTAACAAATTGAAAGTAAACTTAATTAATGTCATAAGTTTGAAAACAAATATATTTAATTGTTAATTAAGAAAATTTGCCAATTGCAAAATTATCAATCTATATAACTCTACACTTATATTATTAAACTGAGGATATGATATTCTAATATTTTATAGCTTATATCTTATTTAAAGAATTTAATTTTCTTAAGTTGGTTAAAGCAGTTCAATGCATGAGTTTTATTAATAAATTATTTATAAATCTTAAAGTGCTAATATATTGTAAATTAAATTCCAAAAAAATTTAAAATAAATAATAAAATAAAATTTTTAGAATTGGTCATCGGTAAATGTAGAGAAATATTATTGTGACTATAATGAAGCAGAAATTAGGTAACGTAACTGAAAATAACTTCGATAGCTTCGGATGATTTAATAATTATTAACGGAAGATTAAATTAGATAAATACTATTTTAGATTTCCTTCAGTACGATGCCGTTCCAGAAGAAAAAATATTTAGGACTACAATTCTGAACTTAATGTATCGTAAAACAACCTGCTTTTTATGTAACACTACTAAGTATTACAATGTTTTATATTGCAATGTTTATATTGCTCTCAAAATGGGGCAGTTAAATTGGGAAATTAATGAATATTGTAACAACAAGAAATAATCTATTTTTTATATTGCAGTGTATAATCTCTAAATGAGATAGACAAATTTAAAGTATCGTAACAATTAGAAATGATCCATTTCTTATATTGCAATGCTATATTGTGGTGTCAAAATGTAGTAGCCAAATTGTGAACTTAGTATCATCGTAGCAACTCGAAACATTTTATATTGCAATGTTTTACTCTCTAGACGGAGATAGACAAATTGTGAACTCAATGTATCGCAACAGTTAAACAACAACCGTCTAAATTATTAACCACATAATTTTATTGCTTTATTTGTTTGAAAAATAAGCAGATAAAGTTCTAAAAGTTATTAAGCACTATTGCTCTTTGTAAAAAAAAAATAAAAAGAAATTAATAAAAAATAAAAAGATATCGAATAATAGTCTATCATCAAAAGTTTATAAACTGTTATCGAAAATAGGGAGGGACTCTTAAACCAAGATTATTTGGAGAGGTGCGTCACAGATCTTTTATGGGAAGTGGTTTAATGTGTGTCTAGAACAATATTGAATTCGAAATGTGGACTGAGATGATAGCTTCTAAAATTGGTTGCTTTGATAATGGAAAGACAAAATGTTGTTTTTAATAAAATATGGTTCAATAAAAGCTTATATTCATTACTTTATGTATTTCTTACAATGACTTGCGAATATGGAAAGGGACAATGCATCCAACTGACTATAATATACACACAAAACTCTATTGTTTGTTTGCTTTTATAAAATTGAATTTTTTAACGAGTAAATATTTGGCTCAAGAACAATGTTTAATGAAGAATATAATTCTATTTTAAAACAATTATAATAATAAAGTTTTAGGGCGTTAAAATATTGAAAATTTAAATACCTGAAAAATGTCACTATTCCTTATATTTATAAATTGCAGAAAGCTTATATTTATTGCTAAGTTTATTTCTTGAAATGACTTGCAAAGATGGAAACCAAAGGCATTCAATCCATGATTATAAACACTGAATCTATTGTTTTTTATATGAAGTTTAATTTTTTGGCTCAAGTAAAATGCTCTATAAAGTGATTTTAAAATAAAGATAACAATTAAGAAATTATTAAACGTAGGATTATTGTAAATATTTCATAATATTTTCAAAATTACTGTATTTCCCTCTTGCTTCTTTCGTTTTTCTTCGTTTTAGAAATGAGCTTCGTAATATTTACCGAAATTTAAAAATGCTACTCAAGTAATGTCTTACTTTATTAATATCAGCAGTTTCTTTAATAATTTGAAATTTTCAGTTCTCGAAAAAGGGGCCACATGTTCTTAAGAGTGATCACTATAAAAAATGCTACAACTGGCCACTGGCCAGAAGCAAAGTATTCTAATTTTGCCCAATAGTTTGTCGGAAATATTAGTTTTAAACATAAAAAAAAATTTTGTTTTCCTGTTTAGTTTAAAATATGAATTGATATTTTTCATAATTCATATTCTGAATTAGATTCCTCTTGAATATAAATCCACAGTTCAAATATGGATTTAGACGCAAGATATTTCATACATTATTAATATCAACAGTTTCTTCTAATTGTTTTAAATTTTCAATTTTTGAAAAAGTAGCCACATATTTTTGAGAGTGGTCAGTGTTAAAAATGTTACAACAGGAAAGAAGCAAAATTTTTGGATTTTAGCCTATATTTTATCAGAAATATTAGTTTAAAACATAAAAAAATTCCCCTTTCCTATACAGAAAGAATTTAATTTAAAATATGGATTTAGATTTTTCGTAATCCTTATTTTAATTTAAATTCCTTTTGATTCTAAATTCATATTTAAAATATAGATTCAAATCCAAGAAATGCCTTACATTATTATTATAAACAGTTTTTTTTAATCGTTAACAAATAAACAGTTATAAAAACAGTTTTTTTAAATTTTCAATTTTTGAAAAAGGGGCCACACGTTTTTAAAAGTAGTTACTTAAAAATGCTAAAACTGGCCACTTGGCCTGAAGTAATGTTTTCTGATCTTAGCCTTTATTTTCTCGGAAATTATTAGTTTTAAACGTAAAATAAATTCCGTCTTCATATAATTTCCCGATATTTTTTACGTATATTATTTCAGTATTTTTCATTTAATATTATTTTCTTTTTTTTTTTTTGCTCTTATTAGAGGTTTCAGAGACATCTAATAAATGGTTCAGCCCCGGGCAATTCTGCTCGTTAAAAATTTCTTGAAGAACCTCAAAACACAAAAATTGTGTGGAAATTAATGAGCGATAGTGCAGTTTAGACAAACAAAAATAGATATTTTACAACATCATCTAATGACAAAGAGAAATTAAAGAGGTCAAAAATATCAATGTAGCAATTTATTTTTTGCTGTTCCTGCCTATTATCAAAAGGATGTTTATGCTATGTCATTCCTTAAGAAATACAACACATTTTTTTTTATCATTGTTATAATAACCTTTTAAATAATTATTTTTACTTTTCTGAATTCGTCCTAAATTTGTATTCTATTTTTCTTTCTTTTATTATCACTCTTTTCACTCATAAATATTTGAAACAATAGACTCCAGACTTTTGATGGTGTTCTTCAAAACTTTTCAATTAAGTAAAATACGTGCAAGCATTTTGAAACCGGTGAAAAGTAAAAGTTTTAATTTTAAACTGAAAACAAAATTCGTCTGAGAAAAATTGATTAAATTTAGAACAGAAAAGAGGCTTAAATATTTAATTAGGGGAGAGTCGGGTAGCCCCGCCCACTTAAGGAGTATTGCTTATATTTCTGTATAATATTGAGTAATAATCAATATTTCTGTATGTTTATATTGTTTTGACATCTAATTAAATAATGCAAAAAGAATAAACCAAAAAAAGAATAGTTTAACTTAAAAAAATAGAAATTTAAAAAAACATGTTTTTCAGCTCTTTTCAAAATGTGTCGGGTAGCCCCGCCCAGTTACAAAAATTATGTTTTTTGACTGTTTTTTCAGGTGTAAATGAAAATGACCAATGTATTGACAATAGATAAACCTCATTTATCATTTTTATCACAAAATTATTTTATTTATTACATATTTATATACTTTTAGTGAATTCTATCATTT